AATGAGCACTGAACTCGCTGTGCAGTGCCCCTGGTTTGGTGTATGGATGAGGGTCACTTCACGCTGCAGACTGACAGGTCCTGCTGTAAACTTATTAGCTGGGGAGCAGTCCAGCCAGGCAGGGGGAGGCATTTTGCTGCACTTTGCTGTGCAAATACAGCCACCCGACTGCCCCCACCTCCTGCTTCTCGTTTTCCCTATTATTTCTGGACTTCTGCGTTTCTTCCATCCTTCCCCATGTACCAAGCAAGGAGAAGAGGAGGGAAAATATAATGTCGTGGAGACTTCCCAAACTTGGAAAATGTTTACTTTTTGAAACTGTTCAAACGAAATTAAATGGTGGTGAAACTCCTGTAGTGGGAGACCAGGAACTCTTCTGATCTGGATGACTGAAAACAGTTTGTGCAACCCAAAATACAGAAACACTAAAATACAATAAAAGCAGCTCACAGATGGGTCCATAGAGCTCTTGCTGGTTGTTTACAGAGTGCTCTTAATCTAGATAATTCTAGGTCCTCTTTTTGTCTCTGACTTGCAGTAAAGACAGCTGAAAGTATATTAAATACGGCCTTACCATTGATTTTTTTTTCTTTCCTCTGCTGCCTCTTACTTATTTATAGTTTGCTTCATTGCAGTGAGGTGGGTGTGAAGGGCACTGAGGGAGGTCCTCAGGATTGTAGTGAGAAGCGGGTGGTGGTCAGCAGGCACTCTCTGGTAAGCAGCAGTTCATGATGTGAGAACCAAAATGTATAAGACTTCCAGTACCCATGTAAAAGGGCAGCCTCCTGCATCCCTGAAAATGAGCTTTTAAACCCTTCAGTCCAGTAGCTTTAACCCATGAATAAATTGAATATCCGTACCTACCTCAGAAGATATAAAGTTGCCTCCTCTATGAACTGCAAAGTGCAAACTGTATTTTTGGAAAAGCCCAACATGGCAAAGCAGAAGTTTATTGCGTGTGTTCCATCTGTGTCCTTGCTCTCCCATTGTGAAATATCCTAGAGGCTGCTGCATCTCAGCTGCAAAGAACTGTCCTTAAACACCGTGCTCACCAGTTATGGTAAGTTGTGGAAGAGACCTGAAACCATTAGTAATATGGACAGTGGAGATTTTGTAAATACTGTCACATCCGTATTAGTTCCAAATGAGTTCATGAAGATTGCTGTTATTATGGCAAATGCCAATAGAATTTTATATGCTCATGTCAGTAGTCAGAGTCGTGGCCAGACTGGTCGTGTTATGCCCAGGCTGGCTAACTTCATACCACAACAGAAGCTGAAGTGGGGGGCTGCTAATGCAGCCTGAGCAGTAAGGGTAGTGGTGGCCTGGTGGGAGCCTGGGGGTGGTATTTAAACCCCTTGTGGGCTGCATGTGGCCCACAGGCTGCTAGTTGGACAGCCCTGGTTCATGCTATTGGACTAATGAACAAATGACTTGCACCATTTCTCCCTTTTCTCAGCACACTTCCACACACTGTTACAGCCATGCTGAGAGAGTGGGTCAGATCAAATACAGGACATTCTTATGTGCTTATGCTGTTGGTCTCTGTCAAGCTCAGTGATACTGGAGAAGTTTCATTGCTGGCACACTTTCCTCCAGCCCACCAGTTGCACTGCAGTTGCCTTGTGAGCTCTTGGCAGAACTGTGTTTCCAGCTGTGGGAGAATGCTGTCTGCCTCCAGCAGTCTGGAAGGATCTCATTCTTTCAGAGTTACGTGCTGGATACTGATAGTGGAATGTCTAGGAAAAGTGAGTGCCTTTGACCTAGTCGGCTTCACTGCTCTGCTTAGTAGTGGAACTAACAGTGAATAGTTTGCATATAACAATGAGCGAGCAAACAGAAATTAGGTTGACCTTAAATAGTGCATTAGGAACAAACAGCAGAGATCTTTCTTGACATGGTGTGATGCAGCCCAGCTGTGGGGGAATCCTAGCTGTGAGCTTTTGATTTGGTTTAGAACTTTGCTAGTTCTAAACCTGTGAGTGTTTTGGACTGGGGATGCAGCTCAGGTTCGCTTCTAGCACAGACCTAATGCAAAGTTAATGAGCCAAGTTTTTCTAAGCCAGATGGCTTGAACTGTTTTCCTTGGGGACCTGAACTGTTTCACAGCAAAGGACTTGAATGCTTTTTAATCATCTTTGGTGACTTGGCATGTATATTTACCAAGTGCTGCCTTGACATGAATGAAGCAAAGCCTGAATCCCTGCAGGCTCGCTTCTGGCCGTGAGCATTCACTAATGTGTGTGCAATATTAACAGACTTTCAAATATTTCTTTACAGAAATTGCCTTACAGCATGTTTCAATGTTCTTCCGGTCAGAGCCAAAGTGGGAGGTCGTAGAACCACTGAAAGATATAGGTAAGAAATCAGTAGCTTGTATCTATAGCAAAGGGGGAATATATTGTTGCCATGTCGCCATTCCTTGGGGAGAGAATGTTTGTCAGCTCTCTCTCCTTCCATATTTCATAGGTATCCTTCCATTTAACTGGAAAATCATGAAGGCAGTGTGTATTTTCTAACTTGTCTCAATGTTGCTAGTATTTATACAGGTGAACCTGATGGAGGATGTCATGTTTCCATAATGATACCAAGTAGAGAGGGTTTAAGTAATTGATGTAACTGTCTATTTTGTCATAATTTTTGTGCATTGGTGGCTACTTTACTGAGAGACATGCGTAGGCAGATCAGAAGACATTTTTTTCTTTAAAAAATAATATGTAGAAAATTAACTTGTAACCACTTCTGTGATTAAGTGGCCATTCTAATGAAACTGTGCTGACTGTTTATTTCTAGGCTGGAGAATACGTAAGAAGTATTTCTTAATGAAGATTAAGAATCAACCAAAGGAGCGACTAATGCTAAGCTGGGTATGCGTGCAGATTGTATCTTTCTTTCAGGTTCTTAAGACAGCTAAAAAAGGATAAGCCAAAGAAATCTGTTGCTTGTCCCCCAACCAAGCCATAAACAATGTTAAGTTCATCTTTAGTACTTTTAGGGATGCCTGGCTTTGTATCATTGTGTCAGGTTCTATATGTGAAAAGCAGAAGCAGGTAGACTTGGGAGTCTGGCCTTCTGAAGCGTTCAGTTGTTGCTGTGCAAACTTCCTGCGCTAAGTTAGTTAAAGATTTGTTTCTTTTCAGGATGCATGCAGAGTTACCTCATGTTAGCATTGCCCTTAACTACTCTCTAGGGGTATCTTTTGCAGCAGCAGCATTTCAGTGACTTTATTAATCAATCCTTTATTAGTCATCTTTTTTTCTTTGTGGAATAGAGCTGATGCCTCTCGATTTTTGCCTTTGTATTTACTTCTAGGCTGACCTAGGCCCGGATAAATTCTTGTCTGACAAAGAGTTGCAATGTGCTGTGAAACTTCTTTCTGCTTGCTCTGTGAGTATTAACTTGGTGACTTCTACAGTGTGCCAATCAAAATGATCCCTGACAAGGGTTAATCCTGCAAGTGCATGCAGTCTAACAGAAAAGTATGTTGCACTGTAGTTGTTCAGACCCTAATTAAGCCTCCCACATTTTTGTAAGATAATATTCTTTCTCCTAGAAAGTAATGCCAGGAATTTCAAAGCTATGGCAGATGATGGTGCTTTTCTTTTACAGTATTGTGGACAGATACTGGGAGTTAATGGCAGATCTGATTGTAAATCTCCAAGATTTTCATGCTGCCTAAATGTAATTGTTTATCACTGCTTCAGAGGTGTCTTAAAGCTGCAGTGCATATCTGTGTAATGTTTGCATTAGGACATGCAAAAAAACTTTCTTTAGAATCTGGAGATGCAGTGGGAGGCAGTATTGATAGCATTCTGTGTTACAGAGATGGCTGCAGGGTGGATCCAGCAAGCAGGTTTGTCTGAATACAGAGTTGTATTTTCTGGCTTCAGTAGGAGTCGCAGCTTTAGGACTCTGCTAAGTGTGTGAGAACCAGCTGGGGAGGGATGTTCTGAAACTATTAAACATCTGTGTGCAGTCCTGGAACTTGAAAACAGACACGTTTAGTGGAGTTGTTAGCTAAGAAATGCACCCCTGCTGATGCCTTGCTCTTGCTCTGTCAGTTTGAGGCTAATCTTATGGCCAAATTTTCAACCTTTTGAAACTGGGAGGGGAAAACCCACCTGAAACTTGGAAACAAGTTGCTGCAGAAAATAAATAGCCCCCACTTGCACAGAATTACTGCAGAAACTTCTGAAGAGACTATGAAATCACCATTCAGTTTTTTAGAATCCTTCTGCCTCATATGCACAACCAAGGATATCTTTATACCATACAGTTCCTCAGTACTTACAGTAAGACTGCTCACTTGAAAAAGTGTTTACAGGACTGAGTCTATATTACCTTTTAAGCAGGAAGCTATGAATCTGATTAGAGATCAGCAAGAAGGCCACACGCAGCAAGTTTGGGCACTGAGCGGGGTAGAGGGGTTGCAGGAAGGGAAGAGATTGCAAAATCCTCTGCTGTCTTCAGGAGTGTTTTACGTACATCTCTCATTTTGGATTACAAAACAGGAGCCTAGTTCAGCCCTCACTAAAACATGTAGTAAAAGTCTTGTTGATTTTGATGGAAGTCAGATAAAGCTCCTGCTATGGTAGTTTTACAGATAGCCTTAACTTAAGTCTGGATACTTGGTAATGTAAGGTGATGTCACTAACAAAGACTGGTTTGTCACTTTGAACAAAAAATTAAAAACCTGATATTACTTCAGGGTATCTGTACTGTCCTGTGTGAATTGAGTGAAAAAGTGAATTTGCTGTAAATTAGGTAGCTAAATGTTAATAACGGCCTCTTGTCTCGACAGCACCCTTACATTTACAAGGTCACTTTTGCTACAGCCAATGAATCCTCTGCGCTGGTAATCAGACCATTCAGTGAGAAAGGAACGCTAAAAGATCTTATTTATAAGGTAAGGTAGTTTTAGACTTGTCAGCTTAAATGTAGGAAAATATTCTGCCATGTTTGGTTACTTTGTAGTCTGTAGAATATATCTTATAACAGTAAAAAAAATACCTTTTTATCATATACAGTTGAGTAAATCAAGATAATTCAGTTTCTTTCATAGTTAACGTACTAAAGGTAGCATTTTTTTAATGTTCATTAAAACTATGTATTTCTTTTATAGGCAAAACCAAAAGAGCCATTCCTGAAAAAGTACTGTAATCCCAAAAAAATCCAAGGTCTTGAACTTCAGCAAATAAAAACATTTGGGAGACAAATACTAGAGGTATATGGCTTTTAATGTTAAACTACTCTTGCATTGAAAGGGAGGTTATCACCTTGAAAATGTCCTCATGCATTTTACATCTAAGATTGTTGTAACTGCAAGAAGCTAGCATCTTTCCCCCTTTTTAGCTCGTTTGATTTTGTGCATGTGACAGCACTTTGCGTGCTTTTAGTTCCACTATATGTCCCCCCCTTCTGCAATGAGAAACTCCCGTCAAGCCCTCAGTGATGTAATTGGAGCTCTACAGAAGTGCCGGGATCTGCCTGTATGAAACCACTTCCTGTGATGGGGACTTACTCAGTCCGTGCGGGTGCAGAAACGCGTATTGATAGGTGCGGGGGGAGAAGAGAGGAGACCCTTATTACCATTCTAATGCTTAAAATGGGTACAGAATCAGGAAGTTGAAATTTTTTTTTCCAAACAGTTTTTTATTCCATTAAAATTGACAGTGATTTCTTTAAATCATATACTTGCCACAGCTGACATCAGAAAATGTTTTGCAGACTTCAGAAAACACCTAACCTAAACACTTTGTTCAGTTAAAAAAAAAAATTAGCTAGTTTAAATAAAAACACTTTGTGTCCTCTTATCCTCGGTACCCTCCATTTAGCCTACTGTTTCTTGTTTGATGTGCAGAAATGGAGGTTTCTGGGAAACAGGGGTAGAGGACTGTGTGAAAAGAGGTCAAATTTGCTTCCATTCTTTAGGGCCCTCTCCTGTGGCCATGGAAAAAGAGTACAAGCAAGCATTCTGCAGGACAGTTCTTGTGAATGAAGATGGGAGCTGAATGGGTGAAATGTAAAGCTCCAGATGCTGGGGAGCTTATACATCCAGTGCTTTCTCTTTTAAATAGGTTTCATGCCTTTCCAAGCTCTGCCCAAACAGACTTCCTTGCATTGACACCTTTTTTCCCCCTTCTCTCTTTGTTTAGGTATTAAAATTCTTGCATGAAAAAGGATTTCCTTATGGCCATCTTCACTCTGCCAATGTGATGTTGGATGGTGATACATGCAAATTGCTAGATCTAGAGAATTCCTTGCTAGGACTTCCATCATTTTATCGATCATATTTTTCACAGTTTCGGAAAATTAATGTAAGTTATTTAAAAAATAAAGGCTTGAGTTGATATTTTGTGTGTGAAAATTTGTCATAGATGTGATAGTAAGACAGACTGTGCTAGACAAAAAACAAACAAACCAAAAACAACTTAGTCTATCAACCCTAACAATATTGTCTTAATAATAGTGCTGTTCTGGAAAGTACATCTTCAGTAGGAGTGTGCTAGATTTAAACTCGATCTCTGGATTGAAATGGGGATTTTTTTTCTTCCTCAGAGATAAGTAGGCTAGAGGCATTATATAGAATTCTAGCTTTCCCCAGTTCATACTCGCCTCTTTACCACAGGCAGTTTGCTGTGTTTCTACAAAAGATACTACATTTAATGCCACCACCTCTGTTGGCAAATCTACCTTGTTGCACTGTAGGGTCTTAGCCTGTGTCTTGTCTTGCCTGCAAGCATTGGCTATAATAAATCCCAGAAGTGATCACGTGGGACAGCAGGTGCTGACCTTGTTAAACAGGTTTACTGCATTGTTAAAGAAATGACAGAAAGTACCTGGTTAGTCCGAATCTATCACTGCCATCAACATTTACTAATGTCTTGGCTGATAAGGGAAGCTACTTCTGTCTATTTCAAAATGCAGTTCCCAAAACTGACAACTATCCCCTTTTAACATTTAACTCTGTATGCTAGACACACTCAAATCTACTAAATATGCACTGGTGTTTTGTACAAATAATGGTCTTCTGGGGATACTTTTGTTTTTGTCTGCTTGTCCTCTGGCTGGAAATCAGTATCAATTAGTGCTACTTCATTAAACCTTGTTATCTACTGTTAGATGTGCTAGGGAAATATTTCACTTCAGTATAAGGTTTTGAAGAATGCTCCTTGAATATTTTGTACAAATAAAGATTGTTCTGGCAAGACTACATTTGGTCAATAATTAATCTGTAATGTTAATTGCATGAAAAGTGTCAGGTGGATACTTCCTTATGGGAGTTATTGTAGTTGCATTACAGTAGTGTGTGCATTCAGACTGAGTGCACTTTGTACGTGTGATCTGACAACTAGGCCTTCCAAGTTGTAACATATAAATAGAAAAGACAAAGGCTGAGGAGAAGGGTGTAATCATCCCCATCCATCAGGTGGGGGAGTAGAGGTACTAAGTGAAGTGACTAGGACAGGATTACACAAAGAGTCTGTGACAGTTGGGACTAGAACCTAAATTGCCAGAGCCCAAATGTGGTGTCTTCAGCATAAGACCACACTCTTCCTCTCAGGAATTAGATAGGTTTCAGAATATTGCTGTGCACAGTGTGTTGGTCTTAATGAGCTGTTTCTTCTTCTGCAGACGCTAGAAGGCATTGATGTTCATTGCTTTGGTCACTTACTGTATGAAATGACTTATGGGAGGCCTCCAGATTCGATTCCGGTGGACAGCTTCCCTCCTGCCCCATCGATGTCTGTTGGTCAGTACGCTGTTGTTAATTCTTGTCCTTTGCTTACAAATATTTCTTACCTGCCTTTCCTTTTAAACAAACCAAAAGCTCATATCATATTAGAATGCAGTAAAACCTACCCAAAACGTCCTGTGCTTTTAGAATGTGAATTTGATGGCCGGGTAACTATTTATTAAATGGAGCAACTGCAGTAAAAATGTATGCTATTTGCTTGTTTCTTTACTGAGAGGTTCCTTTATCACAAAGAATGTATTCTTTTCTCCCACCCCACTTCAAAAAAAAAAAAAAAAAAAAGAAAA